CCCCAAAACCCCAAAACCCCAAAACCCCGAAGATCTAAGATAGATATTTATTTGAGATTCTAGAAATTATTAAATCATATTCTTATCTAATAAATAATATATCTTCACATTCACGATGCAGACCTTCCAAGAAAAATCAATTGATGATGATAATATTTCATCGCATAGTCTGATATCTCATTTAGAATTGGGACACTAGCCATTGCATGATAGATTGATTGATGAAGATTTGCTAAAAAGCACTTACTAGAGTTAAAGAGATGTAGATAAACATTGTTTTTTAGGAGTGGAGCTAAAGGAGGGGGTTCAATTTTCAAATGGACTGAGTATTTTTATTGTGACTATCATGGGCAATCTCATTGTTACATTTATCTACCATTCATCAAATATTGTTCTTTAAAATCAATTCCAACTTAATAACTATGAAGATCTGGTAAAAATAAGCAGTATGATATTCATGATCTCAGTAGTGATTTTGGCACTAGTAAGTCCATTCATTGGAGGAGTAATTGACCTTTTTGGGAGGAGAAAGATGATGACTGCATTATTTATATCTACTGGAGCACTCTCTTCTTTACTTCCCTACTCCTCTATAATTTGGGTTGATTTTACATTTATTAGAATTATACTTGCAGTATAAATTAATTCAATACTGAACAATACTCTGATTGTTGATTATGTGAAAAATGAAAGCATTGGGAAAGCTGTCGCATACAATAATATTTCTAGATATATTGGAAACTTCATGTCTCCATTTGTGTTCTTAAATTTATTGGCTCACACTTCAATAGCTATTACCTACAATATCATGTCAGTAACGATGTACTTAACCGGAGTTTTCTTACTTTTTTCTATGAGCGAGCCTTAAAAACATTAAAAGTTGTTAAATAATACACATGGTGAAAATGATTCTCAAAATATTTCGAAAAATCAGACATAGAATGCAAATTTTTGGAGTAATATCAAAGGAGGAATTTAAGAATGTAGAAGTAACCCAATACTAATCTTTTGCTTGATGCAAAATTTCGTTGTTCGAATGGGTATAGTACTTGGATAAAATGCTTATAATTTGTGGGTTTTAGCTAATGTATCTGATAAACAAAAGGCTTTTGAGTTATTGGCTTTTGCACTCTCTCTTTCGAGTCTTCTCATTTTCTTAATATAAATACCTTTAATAAAATTGCTTGATAAAATAAGGCCAAGAATATTATTAATATTTGCCTAACTATTCAGAGCATGTTCTCTATTTATTCCTATGTTTATTGATAACAAAATTCCAGAGCTAATTGCTGCAAGTATAGTGATTATGGCAATTGGAAATGCAATAGCTAATGTTGCAAGAGATTTTATTTTTCAGAAAAATTAGGGAACATAATCAAGAGGTGTAATAAATGGTTTTATGGATATGTTCCAGAACATTGGCATACTAATATATTTATCAGTATTTGCTTTTTTTGTTAAAGCTATTGGACTTAATGGATGCTTTGCTGTCCTCGGGATCTGTGATTTGATATTGTTGCTAATCTCATCTAAATTCGATTTCAGTAAGAGATGAGGAAGATGATAAATAATAAAACTTTATTTGATGAACCAAGACATTTTGACTTAAAAATAAGGTTTTATAGTAAGCACTTTATTTACTTATTTTCATATTCACTTTTATTTCATTACTTTGTGTAAATCTTGACATTAAATGAGCTTTGTATTAAATAATTATCATTATTGATACATAACCATGATTTTTCCTCTTGGGGTTTTGGGGTTTTGGGGTTTTGGGG